CTATAAAATTCTTAAAAGAAAACATAGATGTAAATCTTCATGACCTGGCATTAGGCAATGGTTCCCAGACATGACATCTAATGCACAAGCAACCAAAGAAAGAATAGATAAATTGGACTTCATAAAAATTAAAAACTTTTGTGTGCTTCAAAGGACACTATCAAGAAAGTGAAAACACCACCAGAAAATGGGAGAAAATATTTGAAAATCATGTATTTGATTAGAGTCTAGTATCCAGAATACATACAGAACTATTGCAATTCAACCAAAATAACTAAAAATAACTCAATTAAAAAGTGGGCAAGTAATTTGTCTACACACTTCTCCAAATTAGGAGAAACGCTAATTGGAACAATGTAATACCACTTCACATCCACTAGGATGGCAAAATCAAAAATAAAGACAATAATAAGTGCTGACAAGAATGTAAACAGATTGTAACCCTTATACATAGCTGATGGAAATATAAAATGGTGCAGCCTCTTTGGAAAATAGTTTGGCAGTCCTCAAAAAGCAAACCATTGAGTTTTCATATGACCCAAATAATTCCACTTCTAGGTATATACACAAGAGAACTGAAAACATATATCCACTCCAAGACTTTTACATGAATGTTCATAGCAGCATTATTTATAATAGTGACAAAGTGGAAACAACCTAAATGTACATCAACTGATTAATTAATAAACAAAATATGGTATACCCACACAATGGACTATTATTCAGCCATAAAAAGTATTGAAGTATCAATTTATGCTACAACATGGATGAACCTTGACAACAGTATACTACATAAAAAAGTGAGACACAAAAAACTACATATTGTAGGATTCCATTTATGTTAAATATTCAGAGTAGACAAATCCATAGAGATAGAAAGTAGATTAGTGCTGTCAGGGTCTAGGGGCAGGTAAGAATGGGATTGAATGCAAATAGGTATAGCATTTGTTTTCAGGGATGAAATGTTCTGGAATTAGATGGTAGTGACGGTTGTACAATTTTGTGAATATACAAAAAACACCAAATTGCACACTTTTAAAATGGTAAAAGGGGTTAATTTTATGACATGAAAATTCTATCACAATAAAAAATGTATAACATTTGGACTAATTGTTAAGTTATGTATTTATAAAAATTGATCCTATGCCATACTATGACATATTTCATCAAATTTCAAAGGATATAATCATTCAGAATGTGTTCTACTATTAATCCAGAAATAAAACAGATAACTAGAAAATTTCATTATGTTTGTAAATTAAGAAAAATGCTTCTAAAAACCAATGGATTAAGAATGAATCACAGTAGAGATAGAAAAATATTTTGAAAATACTAATTACACATCAAAACTTGTTGATTGTAACTTAAGTCATAATGCTTAGGGGAAAATTTAGTAGCTACAAATGGAAAAACAGAAGGGATAAAATCAAAGAGCTCATCACCTACTTCATAGTATTAGAAAAAGAATAACAATTTAAACAAAATAATTCAAAGGAAAAATAAGAAAAACAGAATTCGAGGTATGGAAAAAAATCTGACAGTGGATATGATCAGCAAAATCACAAGAGGGCTCTGAAACAAAATAATGAAATTGGTACAGCTCTAGAGAGATTTATACAAAAAAGAGACAGAGAGAAAGCAAAAACATATGTTATCATATTGATATGAAAAAGATGAGAGCACGATAGGTACCGACATCGAAAAGCCATGAGACTATTATGAACTGCTGTATATCAATAAATTTGAATATTTAGATAAAATAGATGACTTTTGAGAAAACCAAAACCTTAGAAAATCTTCACAAAAAGAAATAGAAAATGTAAATAATTTTATGTCTATAAGAGAAACTGAATTCATAATTTAAAATCTTCCCACAAAGGCCCATTTGGTTTGGCAATTCATGAATTCCACTAAACATTTCAGGAAGACATATGTTAATCCTACATAAACCCTTCTAAAGAATTGGGGGAAGAGCGTCTTAACCTTCTTTAATTAGCCTTTATACTAAACCTGACAAGGCCATTACCAGGAAAAAATTACTGGCCAGTCGTATGCAAATTATAAACACATATGCAAAATGGTAACAATATGTTAGTATACTGAATCCAAAAATATATAGAAAGGACCATTTATCAATACCAGGCTTGGTTTATTCCATAAATACAAGGTTAGTTTAACATTCAAAATGTATCAATACATCTCACCATATTTTCAGAATAAATGAAAAACATCATATAATCATTTTTTCAGAAACCTTTAGTTTTTCAATTTTTTTGTTGAATGAAGTTAGATACAGTACCATTTCTATAACTATTATTGAGGTCTCCGAGCTTTGTGTAAGCACTATAATAAAATATGTCAACTCTTGAGGGCATTCTTCTTCAGGAAAACCTGCTAACAGCAGGACCTTTTGAATCACATCCCGTAGATCAATCTGACATTACTTTTCCAGCTGCCCCTCCTGAGATCTCTCTGAAGCTACAAAGAAAAGGAAACAATAATTCTTTTATGGCTGTCTGAATGGAATAATTACTGAAATGGAATCTCAGGGTACTTCTGCACCCACCTTTGCAAAAGTGTGCTTCTTTGCTTGTTAAAACGTCGTTAGAAAAGGAATGAAAAGTTTTATGTATGCGAGTCGACTACAATTCATAGATGATATCTTCCCACTTTGAATTCCTGTCTGTAGCAGTTACTTGAGGTGAAGAGAGGCAACCCCGTCTCGAATAAAATCTGCTTACTGAATGACCATTCACTCCCAGACTATATTTTTTTGCTAGTCAAACACAATTTAAATGTTATGGTAATATTATAGGCACACCACAAACTGCTTCCTAATTCCAATTTAGCTATGTATTCTTTCCTCTGATATAAATTGCCTGATATTCTAAATTATTAAATGCAACATCATGATTTGGGTAATCTGAGGTTGGTGTAAAAAGACATGAATATGAATGCTAACATCTATTAAAATAATGATGTTCCTATACTTTTACACCCATAAAATCAAGGAAAAATCCATACAATTCTGCATTGTGCCTTATGTTAATGAAAAAAAAATGGCAGAAACCATATCTATGACTTACAATGAGGTATTTATCCATTTTCTCCCTTTTTATTAAGATAAACCTCAGCTAAAATCTTGGCAATGCTATTTGTTCAATTGCTCATTTGTATAATTTTTGCAAGAATACCTATTTTGTAGAAATTATGTGAGGATTGCATGAGATAACACGAAACTTGACTGAGTGGTGCCTAGCATTTAATATGCCCAGTCAAAGTTGTGTTTCCTTGACTTCTTTCTTGTACCAGACAATTTCACTTCCATGTCCCACTCACAGACCCAGAAGAGAGAGCTCCTTAATCCGTCTCTTCTAATTGGACCAGAGATATATTCTTAATCTAATGTAAACAAATTTGTAGGTTTGGACAAACCAATTATCTTTTCTCAATCAATAAACTCTGTCATAAATACTGGGGCCAACTGGTCTTTTCCTGAATTATAAGATTATGTGAACTTGGTTGTGTGGCTCCCACATTAGGTGCCATACAAAAAGAGGCAGTGGAGGCAGTGAGTGGAAATGTAAGGGGAGGCAGATGTGGGTGAATGAGAGGAACTGTAGAGTTCCCCATGCACAAAGCTAGCACCATTTTTTCCTGATATTCCTGATCTCACATTTATTTCTCATTATGCCATGTCGTTAGAGTCTGCCGTACTGTTTTGTATGTCCTTTTTAGGCATACGTCTTTTTTGCCTTAGCTGGCTTGAATGTGCTGTGATCATTAAAATCAAATGAGTTTGAGTTATAAACTCCTCCACTGCTTTTTAAATTCTGTTATTTAGAGCAACTATTTTGTTAGCTTTCAACATATTAAGTTACATCATGATATTTGTCATTAATACTGATTTTTCAGTAGACTATAAGATTGGTTAATAGGTTTACTGATATCATACAGTGTGCTTTGAAACTGAGCCTTTACATTAAAAATATTAGTGGATTCATCATATATTCCAATATTGAAGAAAAACCAGAATACAAAGATTACATAAGCCTAAGGAGGAAAAATGATCAAAACAGCTTCTCCAAAAAATTGAATAAGTTGTGCCTGAAATACCCTGGTCCTAAATTTTATTACATATTAATATTTATGAATATACTATTTAGAATGCTTTTGGCAGGAGTAAAACGAAAAAGACCTAATTAAAAGGCTAAAGCTATTTATTATGTAAGAAGAGGCAAACTATTCAGCGATGTCAGCAAAGATTCTGGTTCCTTCTGTCCTTTCACTCAGCTGTCCTCAATGTGTTGGCTATAGTCCTTAGTCTGGTCTTTTCATGCAGCCAAAATGCTGTTGCAGGCTTTATAATCCAATACAGCCTTGTCCAAAACACAAAGGGCAGTTGCCCATCCTAGATTGTTTTTAAATCCTGGAATCTAGATTCCTCAAAAGCCCCCCAGCACTTATTCTTAAATCCCATTGGTAAAGTTTCTCGTGTGCTCTATTGTCTAAGCAGAGTTATGAAAACTTCCCTTTTATTCTCAAAGGTGCCCCCATTTGGATGATAAATTATGACTACTTTAGGTTTGGTCACATGCCTATGCCTGAGGAGCATGAGATACTGAAAAAAAGAAATATCTAGTATTTTTAGCCTTTGTCATGGAAAGTTATTCTGGCAAGGAATAAGGTAATGGCTTTGGGGTAGGCAACCCACAATGTCTGCCACTTGTTAAGTGCTAAACAATTTCCAATTTCTGGTTATGAATTAGACATTGTGCGAATTAGATTAAATAATTTATGCTGAAATTCTCTGTAATCATCTGGATGTTTGTGATTGTGAGTTTAGGAAGAAGTACAATGAGTCAATTTTATTATTAGGGAATCCAGTTTTGTCTTCTATATCAAAATAATGATAAAGATAAGACTAGCAACCTCAACTCTTTGCTTATTTTTTGTTACTTTTGATGATATCATAAATATTTTCTTTGGTCTTCCTCTAGAATTAGACCCAGTGACCAAGCAACTTATGCTCCAAACAGCTCAACCAACTTTTGGCCATCTAACAGATGTAAGTAAAATGTTTTAAGTTATAATAAATATCACTATTCATGGTAATTAATGCAAGTGTCTATTATGTTTTAAAGTTTAGTAGCTTTGCTACTAAAATGATTATAATATTATCCACTCTCTAGACAATAGTGGAATAAGATATTTATAAAAGTTCTCACAATGATCCATCCACCTACTTATATGTTTTAATGTTACTTATGGTAATATTTTTGGTAACATGGAGACTTATAACAGACTACAAAAACTTTCATAGCCTGTCTCAACAAAAGTATGGCATAAAATGAGCCTTACATACCAGGAGTTTTCTTCTAGGAGTTTTCCTCTAGGAGTTTTAAAGTTTCAGATCTTTATGTTTAAGTCTTTAATCCATTTTGAGTTGATTTTTGTATATGGTGTAAGATAAGGGTCCAATTTCATTCTTTTGCATGCTTGCAATGTGTGATAACATGGAGGAACCTTGAGGATCTTGTGCTAAATGAAATATGCCAGCCACAGAAAAACAAATACTGCATGATTCCACTTGTATGAGGTATTTAAACTAGACTCATGGAAGCAAAGAATAGAATTGTGGTTTCCAGGGGTTGGGGAGAAAGGGAAATGGAGAGTTGCTAATCACTGTGTATAAAATTTCAGTTATGCAAAATGAATGCATTCTAGAGATCTACTGTACAACATTGTGCCTATAGATAGCAATATGGCATTGTACTTAAAAATCTGTTAAGAAGGTAAATCTCATGTTGTGTTTTTGCTGCAATGAAATAACGAAATTGTTACACATTTTTAAGAGCAGTACAAACATTTAAACAGGTATTTCAAAAGCTGTGGGTCATTATATTTCTGGTTTTAGCGTGTCCTTTTTATATGGATAAAATATTACTTTTAGTTGCAATAAATACACCTTATTCCACTCTCTTTAAAACTCATATTTACAGTATGCTATAGAATGCATAGAGGACCATTATGAGTGAGACCATGTTAGAACATTTAGTTAGTTCGTGCTAGAATATTTAATAACTTATGCAAGAAATGTGAAGAAAACCTTGAATTAGTTTATGATATAATGAGGAATATGGAAAACGTTTAAATCAATAACATTTCAGAGAGGTCTGGAGAAGGCCAGATGGCCTGATGGTATTGCTCTACATGAAAGGAAGGCAGAACTAAAGTCCACATATCTGGATGTTTGTAAAAGGTGGAAGACTATGATGTGTGATATGAGAGAATAGTAGAGAAATCAAAGGGAAAAGGAAATGAATTGGCAATTTAACTAAACAGGGTATTTGAGGACCAGAAATCTCTAAAGGGAATTCTTAAAGACTAACTTGTTTATAGTTTGGTGCTTAGTGCTGGCCCTCCCCTCTGTTTCCCCACAAAATCCTTACTGAAATCCACATGACCCACTCTGATGCTTTCCATGTTTTCTTACAGTTGAATTTGAACACATGTTGAGTCCTCTTTTAAGACTACAGTGTGGTGAGAATCGAAGTCCTCCAAAGGGAACAACATCTGGGTTATATTTTGAGAACTCACCTGGGATTTGTCATTAAGGTGCAGCTCTCAGTGGTATTTTGGATTAAATCATCATGATGAAAGGGAGACAAGAGTGTTTCCTCACTATGGTTGCCAAATGAAACAGATTGTGATGGTTGCTGGCATACCGCTTCATAGAAGATGGATGTTATGAGATGAACATTTGCAAGGTGTATAGTTTAATACTAAAAGATTCAAATAAGGTGCTAAATACATCAACCATTCCATATATTTGAGTGAAAGAATTAAGAAATATCATTCTGAAGTTTTAGGCTAGTAATGGATATGTAATTGAGCCACAACAGTTAACCAATTTCTTAAGATATTAAAACTTTTCCAGGATTTACTAAGATGTCTATGGCAGAGGTCACCTGTAGAGGTAGAATGCCCTGGAGACAGTAATCTATTGGGTGATTTGGTCATCAAGCAAGTATGAGAATGATTTGTTGAGGTCAAAAGCTACGAGAAAGTAGAGTAATGTGTGAGGAGAGTAATGCCAGTGACATGAGAAAAATATTTTGATTTGTGTTTAGAATATGCCACTGAAATGCTCAGGAGTAGCAGGTATAAAATAGAGAAATGAAAGAGGTTGCAAAATCATTTGCAAGTCCAGTGCCAGGAATTACATAAGGTGGCTATGTCTCTATTTTGGTGGCAATATATTATAAAGTGGAAAGTAGCTGGGATTTAGACGACAAGATTCTGATCATAAGTCAAAAAGACAGGTAATAAAAGACTTCTACATATATTTTAAAACTCAAGAGACTTTGTCATAAGCCTTCTGATAAGATGATATGGAGAAAACATTGGAGCTACTAGGAGATAGTCACTTCAAGAGCAATTTATCAATTAGCCTTCCTGGAAAGACTTTGAATTCATTAAAAACCAAAGTTTTCGCCTAGTATCTGTCTCTTAGTAAAGCTGATTCAGGAGGAATAAGATTAGAGGTAATAATGTCTACCCTCAGTAAATAAAAATGAATAGCTGACTTGAAACTTCAGTTGTCAGTTAAAAGTGGCCCATCCACAGATTTCTAACATGCGGCTCAGCTACCTAAGGTCATACGTGCTGGAGAACAGGAAGAAATTGGCCTCCAGAACTTGCCCTGGGCAACGGAATTGCCCACTGATTTAATTCTGGTCTGGTGGTTGTCCTACGTAGAGCTGATGTGACCACCTGAGACGTGAAGGAGAAAATTTTGGAAATAAAAACAAAGGACTTTCAAAGACTCTAGGAGGTAGAAACACAGTCATTCATTATGGTTGTTTCAAGGGTAGAAACTATATTCTTGTCCTAGATAAATTAAGCTCATGAAATGAGAAGGGTTTGAAAGTAAGGCAGAGATACCAGTATTAGGACTGAAGTGGGAGGAGGGTCCACATAAAGTTGTTTCTGGAGGTTTTTTAGGTCTGTGGAAAAATGCTGATGAGCACGAATAAAGTACATAAAGGATACAGGTGTTTTATTCAGATATACATTCTTCTCTTTTAATTATGATTCTGCTGGGATTAGTTAATAAAATAATGTTAGTTTGTGCAAAGCACCAGAATAGATGCTCCTGAAGGAGGCAGAATTCGAAGAAGCTTTAGAACTGTTACAAAATAACATAGTGACAAATGCAGAATTAAAAATGAACGATCATTAACACAGTGGAGAATAAAGCCTGTTTTATTTTTCCTGTGCTACATGGTTTAACACATGTGGCCAGCTGTGCAGGTAGCCCCCACCAAACTGGAAGCTGGAGTGGGCACCTTTTTCCACGGAGCACACAAAAAAATTCACATCAAAATCATTAGTGAGCAATTGAGATTATGAGGGAAAACCAAACTTTCACTTTAAACCTGCCACTGAAGACAACTTACAAGTTTAATTAGAAATGTGTATTTTCTTCTAAGTCTCTCTTTGGCCACACTTCCAACCTAGGATTTTCTCCTTGCTCCATTTTGCTTTTTCTGCTGCCTTTTAAGTGCCTGTTTCTCTGATACCTCACCTTCCTCATTCTGTTCAGATCCCCAGGATCTGACACCAGATTATCAGATCTTTACGTCTTTGTGGGATTAGTAGATATCTGAAGGCTTTAAGAAAATGATTTTGCCCAGCTTTTCTAATTATGCTCAGCAAGAACAATAGTCTACCGCAAAGTAATCTACTCTACCAGAAGCAGAAGTTCTGCATATATTTCTGCCGAAAAAGATGAATCACAAAATTTTCCATGGTTAATTTTATTTTCATATTCCCTTTGATCTACCACTTTTCTATGGTTTTCCATCTCAGGGACATGCCTAATTCACAGCAAATTTTTTAGCAAGTGTTTGGCTATATTTTTCCCCAATGAATGGTTCAAGACTATCAGCCCACAATATCTGGAACATTCAAATAGAGTGTCTCTTGCACCCACATGTCTTCTGCCACAGGAATACTTTTACTTAAGACAATTTAGTTAACTGTCCTATCTTTTAAACATTTACATTCTAAGATTTTGCCATGTGCATGAAGTATAGATTCCTTTTCTCTCACTTTATCCTTTGTGGAAAGACTAGACCTCAAGGAAGGTACTTAGTGACCACGACTTGATAAATGAGGCTAATGGAGAACAATGGAAGTTTGGTAAGTATATGAGTAATTGCTGACAGAATGTACAAAAAAACATTGTAAATACGGAAAGACTAGAGAAACACTACCTCAGACTAAAGGTGACTCACATAAGTTGAAAAGGGAGCAAGAGGAACGAAGAGAATAAAGAAAAACATTTAAAACATTATGAGTCAAGTTCAAGAGTAGACCAAACTAATAAGAAGTTTTACCCTCAGTATAGAATGTTATATTCAGTCAAACATATTAGGAAGAATAAAACTAGGTATTTTGAAAGTGGAAAAGTACAGTCAGACACACTGTGCAGCTGGTGTTAGCCATTCTGTTATTACTCTTGAGCTAAATCAGGTTTGTGATATAGCAGAACAATTAGATTTAATTTTTGTTGTTGCTGAGGAAGATTCGCCCTGAGCTAACATCTGTACCCATCTTCCTCTGCTTTATATGTGGGTTGTCACCAAAGAGTGGCTGATGAGTGGTGTAAGTCCACGCTCAGGATCCGAACCTGCGAACCCGGGCCACTGAAGCAGAACACGCTGAACTTAACCACTACGCCTCGGGGCCGGCCCTAGATTTAATTTTTAAAGATCCAAAACTTCACAGTAGAACTTTAAGAAGTGTAGTAAATGAGAAAGCAGAAGGAAAATTAAGAAGTTCTTTTTATTCGGGACTTCCCTACTTCTTAGTTTCATCTGTCAGTGACTGTGTTACTTTCTGAAATTTTCTGAAAATCTCTGTAAAAATACACAAGTGTTGCACAAGAAAGGAACAGCTACTCTCTAGAAAAGTCAGTTTATAATGCTTGTCTGATGTCTCCCATTTTCACCTGACTGAAATTTCGTATTGTACATGTAATATTCTGCTGGGCGGTTGCAA